ACAGAGGTCGGTACGATGAAGGTTCTTCAGGTGGTTTCTTTGGTTTTGGGAGCAAAACCAAACGCTGTACTTTCCAAGGGTCGGGGAATACCTCTTCCTTTAAACAAGCGTTGTACATTTCGGCGAATACTCGAGGTTTTAAGCTTATGGCTTCCTTCAGGGCTCTGTTTGGTATGCCATCCAATCCCATCCAACCCGACTGCATGCAGCTGATATGCAGATTTGGCTTTGTATGTGTTTACACTGTTATATGTACATATTTGCAACTCGGCTCGCATACAATTTCCGTGTTGTAGCATTGATTAAAGCGCCACAATGCTTTCAAGTACGTTTTGTGGCAAACTAAAAATACATACAAATGCAACTTAATCATTGCGTTGCATATCTTGCGGCTTCATTTGTATTTTTCCTCTAGCAATCCTTACATATTTGCTTCGTTTATTTGATGCTTTAAAACCTTCACTCTCGCTTATTGCAATGTGGGTGGTTTTAAAGTTGCATAGCTTGCACATAGGCATACCTTGTTACTTTTTACCATTACTCACCTTGTGCCCTCATTTACAATAGTATATTTTTCATTGTTTCTTAATGCGTTTAGCTCAAGTGCGTAGTATTGATTTTCCTTATCATGAGCTACACGTTAACCCCTCCTCCCTTTATTATCGTATGCAACCTTAAAATGTTAAACAAGCAAAGTAAATTTGCTTTTCATTATTGCCTCACATATCTGGCAACAACTATTCGGTTTATTTCAAATCTAAATACAATTGCAGCTTCTATATTTTCTTTGCTCTTTTAGAAAATTGTGCAAATTTACGGTTGCTTTGATTAATTATAGACAAAGTGATATTGTATTTGTGCTTGGTTTGTTTATTCTGAAATTGAGGTTAGGTTGAATTAGGATAAATGTTAGTTAAGCTTATACTATTACTTGCAGTTTATTGGCGACACAATGGGTTCGTGTTAATTCGTTGAGTTTTTTACTTTCATGTATCAATTAGCAATTTAATTGGCACATAAAACTAAGCTAGAAAAGACACAATGAGTGTAGCACTTCAAAAAGCTTTCAAATATGGAACCCCTGCAGAAGAGCCACTGCGCGAAAGTGAGACTTACGACCCACTTGGTTCTACACAAGAGTCATCCGTACCATGGTGTTTTGGTATGGTGGAATGCATTATTGAAAAAGAGCCGTATTAAGCCCCTGGAACAGATGCAATGGGCCTCATTGGTGGAGATTACAGGCGCAATGAAACTACTACTATTGTCAACTTCGGCTGTGGAGGTTATCCTTGACATAAACACATATTTATACAAGTGAAGTATGGAGCAATGCTTACAGCCAGCCGGCTGAAGATTTTAGGACATTCGGCATCATTATAGGTATGATATCATACTGGAATTTGTTAGCGGACTCAGGCAAAGTTGGCAATGCAGCTGAGGGAGGCTCATGAGGGGGTGGATACAATGTTTTCATTCCTCAAAAAGGTGGACAGACCGAAAAGTTTCTACTTTTAGTCAAAAAGGACCAATGTGGGGGTCATCATAGGGCATCTACCCTTAACATCCTGCATTTTGAAAATTGGAAAAGTGGAATCGTCGGAATGTCGAGCACGCTCGGAAGATGATAAGAAGCTGGCACACCATTTCTGTGAATACCCAGTCCTCAGTCTTTCGAGACGGACATATTCTACTGCTTCCAATGCTCTAACTTATTCTAATTTGGCAGTTGGGGTGGAAAAGAAAAAGGTTTTTTACCAAATCCGCTGAGTTGTTGGATAATGATTATTCTTACATTATTGTCGAATGTTGAGCAAGCTCTGTCAGTCTGTTTAGTTTGAGTTTAAGAGTAACTTGATTGGATCCACTGAAGGCACCCAGCTTTTGGAAAACTAAGATATCATACAACAACTTAAATTTTTCAAGAAATTTATGATACTTTTATTTTGGAGAGATTATTTAGTTCTACTTAGAGTATTGCTCTTTGACCATTTGAAAGGCTTGTGTGGCTCTGAAAGCTTTTAAATTGACTTTTAGTTCTTTTCCGAAACTGTGGATTAAGATTTCTGTCATAAAAGGCAACATTTATCAAAAAACTGGTAAAGTCCCAAAGTTAGTATAGTTAACATGCATCAATTATTCACCTTATTAGCAAATATTGAAGAAATGAGCGATTTAGTTCTATATTTTTTATAATTTGACAGCTATTTCATAAAATGTCGAAATCGCAGCATGCTTCAATAATTTTATAAATTTTCGGATATTTTAAGCAACAACTTGGCATTGTAAAAAAATGTTCAGTTTTACACTTGTTAACAGGTGGCAACTCTCAAATAGTTTCCTGTTTTGTGTATTTAATTAATTTTTGATTGTTATCTGAATTTCATCAAGTAGTAAACTTTCACATATACGCATTTTATTTTTTGTTTGTTTTTATAATAGATGGCAACTCTAATTTAATATTTTGTTTACATATTTAACTAATTGTTTTTTTTTTATTGAAAATATCAGCGAGTAAAATGTTACATATACTCAGTTTATATATTTTTAAGTTTTTATAATAGGTGGCAACTCTCATTTAGTTTTTTGTTTAATTTATTTAATTAATTGTTGTCTTTCGATATTTTGATAAAATATTATATTTCCTCGCTTTTATATATTTTTAAAGTTTCATTATAGGTGGCAACTCTCATTTAATTTTTTATTTTACTTATTTAATTAATTGTGGTTTTTCTTGACAATTTCCGTAAGTAAAATATAATTTATACTCAGCATACATATTTTTAGATTTTTTATAATAAGTGGCAACTCTAATTTAATTTTTTGTTTTATTTATTTAATTAATTGCTGTCTTTTGGCATAATTTCATCGTGTCAAGTATTATATTTACTCGGTTTTATATATATAATTCTAGGTTTAATTACAGGTGGCATCTCTAATTTATTTTTTGTTTTACTTATTTAATTTATTATTAACTTTTTTGCATGTTCTTAAGAATTTACTGTAAAGAATATTATAATACATAAATGCTCAGTTATATACTTTTTTGTTGCGTATCAACTCTCCAAATTAAAGTTCGTATATTCAAAGTTTACTCAAATTATTAGCGTAATACTCTCCCAAGTGCTTTTTATGTAGCAAATATTTCTTTTTAGATTTTTTCTTTAAATTTTTTATTTTGCTGGCAACATTCAAGTTCACTCTTTACACTTGCATATATTTGCAATTTGAAGTAATAAAATTCTTAACTCGATATCAAATCTTTATTCTACTTTTAATAACCCAAATTTCACCTACAACAACAAACACATAACTGTCTATCCATTATCCTGATTTGTTTTGCCTACTCCATGCCATTATCCAAATGCAAATTTCGCGTAGACTTCGAGTTGACCAGTGACAACACAACAGTGACATACCAAGTAATTGGAACAAAAGACACAGACGCTGGCAGTGACGTTCCAAAAAGGGGGTAAAGCGAAGTTTGGAGAGACATTCAGACAGCAATGCACACATTGACACAAACAAAGGTATATTGCGGCATATGCATATGGATTGCAATGTGCCACACATACAAGCGCGCATTTATGCCCACCGCTGAGTTTGGCGGCGCGAAACAAAAAGCCGCCGACAGATCACACTGAGTGATGTGAC